TCGGAGAGCATTAAAGCAGATATAGTTCTACAACAACAACARCAAAAGGCTATTCGCTGTCTAGTTAGCTAATGTAAAAGCATGTGATCTATGGCTAGTTCATAGTTTTATCTCTGAGAACCAAGGCTGTAAGTCGCTTAGCAAACTGATTATAGACAATTAGAGTTTGTTGAGGAGGTTTTACTAATCTTAAGTGGCGGGTCAATTCATGAGAATCACAAAGGAAGGCAGTGTTTTACAGCTTTGTTAAGCTGCTTCATATCCCTAATTACAGTGAATGGAAATTTTTTGATAATCAGGGCCATTTATAAAGCAGCGTACGGTATATCCTGACAGCTTTACGCTTTATAATGTATAATGCATAATATAATGTAATGCAATTAATATAATTGCTAAAAATTTAATCGCAAGATTAAATCACAAAGAAGAATCACAAGAGGAGCCTTGATCTATAGAGTTAGAGTAGCAAATAGTATAAACCATAGCAAATCGGTCTTTGCCTATGCCCATGGGTGGTCCGTGGAGCTGCCCCTGCCTATGGGGATGCCTGTGCAGTTGGCCACACGCCGTTCCGCTTTGAGCCAGATCAGCGAATRTATTCATTATTCATTATTCATTGATGGACAGCAATGCGGAACCAGAGATTAGCGGGCTTTCCTTAACGCCAAATACATATACATATGATGCCGCCAAAGCTGGGAGAGTACAAGCGCCCGGAGCAACAACGCCCCATTTGCCGGTTTCGATTTGGAGTTTCGAAGTTTGAGCCATTCAGTTCTTTTCAATTCTTGCATAAACGAAATGATGACAGCGAATGCCGTCAAATAATTAAGGCTAATTCGACAATGCGCATTTGGTCTTTGCCAGCTTTAGCTTGGCTTGGCTCTTGGTTTGGCTTGGCCTGCTGCCGAAAATATTCAAACAATCATTAATCACAATTTTTTTTCTCCTTTTTTCGGAGTTTTGGCAAGCGTGCGGAATGAGCTAAACAAATTATTTGTCACACAGTGCGCATCGCATGGCAAAACAAAGCAATTAGCTAATGAACGCTTATCGCATTTCGGTATCTCGGCTTCCCAGCGTCACAGCTTCACAGCATCGGGGCACACACACGCGACCCGTGATGCCTTCGCCACTCTCGATCCCAAAAAGGCAGTTGACCCGGAAGTGCGGGAGCTGTTCCACTTACATCGCAGCTTCATGTTCCGATCCATATTCATATTCATATTCTAGTGGAGATAACTTTGCTCTATGGCATACCAAGACAATGGAACATGACAAGCTGACAAGCCGTCCATAATCCGGCACATTTTATGCGTCGTGCTATAATTGTCTTGCATAGCATCTATAATTTATTATGTAAAACCTTTAAGTCTTTTTAGCGCAGCATTCGAATTAACTTGGCTTTTATAATCCTTTTTTTTTTTTGTCTACGTGCATAAATAATTTTTGGTTCCGCATTGCTGTCCATCCATTGAGTTATACATTGCTCTGATAAACATCGACTACTTGAGGCATGGAGCTACCATGGATACAGGTCATCTGTTAGTCAGCTATTCTCGATCAATCTACTGCCGCTTGTTCCATGTATTTTACACATCAAGTATATATTTATTCTTTAATGTATTTTCGCTAATCTTTTCTATTTCTGGCTGCGTTTTTATTAATAATAAATCGCTACAAAATGACGCGGGCAAATTTTATTTTTGTATACACTGAACAAAATGGGTAAATGTAATTGAGCACTAAGTATCATGGAATAATAAAAAAAAGGCATTGATCAGAATAAAGATCTCAATCGATATATTCGTGTCCATATGACTGCATMTCTGATGATGATGAATAAGAATGCAGAATGAACAAGGATATGAAGAGAATAATGAAGAATGATGAATGAGGAGTAATGAATGCTGAATAACGTTTCTATTTATGCTTCTAATGAGCTCAGGGAGCTCAGGGTATCTGTCAGTCGTACACGCTCGACTGGAGCACTTCTTTCTACTTGCTTAGTAATAAATCGCTGCAAAATGATGCTGGCAAGTTTCATAATGTTATTGTCATAATTCTTGATGCTGTTCTTCTTGTTGTTGTTGCTGTTGTCATCGGTGTTGTATTCTTTGTTGTTAATGATATTGTCAGTGGCATCGGCATAGACACCGCATCAGGTGTATTTGCTATTGGTTCTGCTCGGTCTCTAGCTATTGTTACTGAAGTGGGATTGTCGAGCATAAGTGGGCAAAAGGCCTTTTGTTGGACTTCTTCTTAAATATAGATAATACTGGATAATTAAATAGCATTACACAGTCAATTTGATATAAATATATTTTGGTATTCAACTTCCGCATTAACATAAAAACAGATCACTGGGTTTTTTCTATTTACTTTTTTTTTTTTTGCGTACATGCCCAGGGAATGGCAGTTAGTGGAGTAATTAAATTGATTTTGCTTAGCGAATGCTTGATTACAAGCTTAAAGTTGTTCAATTAAATTTAATGCACACATTTATTAGCAAAATAAACATTCAATTTGTTCGTCAGCTGTGCGTCTTCTGCTTCTTCTTCTTCTTGTTCATCATATTGTTCATTAGCTTATATTTATTTTTAGAAATCAAATATAGAGACCTCTGCGTTTTAGATGTTGCTATTTTTAAAGTAATTCTCCACACCGATTTAAGACTTCTATTTATAAATGTAAAGAAATAATGGCTACGAATTAGCTGAACTTTAAGTTTGGCTCAACTTCCGCGACTGTGGGAAGTCGCAAAAATAAAACAATAATTAAACCAAAAAATATAGTACTGAAAATATGACTGGAACTCAAATTACAAAAGCTTAGCTCCGTTTAGAATGCGACTTGGATAGCCTTTAACATGGACAAGCCAATGTTTGGGTCAAGTGTGCACACGATTTGTGTTGCTGCTGCTGTTGTTTATGCCTAACGACAATCCATTAATTCTGTAAATGCTTAAGTGTATTAATTAAATTTATTACGTAAACGCTGCAGTTAATGCCTCACTCGATGCCGGACAATTAATCAAAGGTGACAAAATCGATTACCTCGATGCGAATTAAGGCAAGCTCTTTTTGCATTTGGGGCAATTGAGTATTTGAAATATTTATGGAAAATGTATTAATTATATACTGAATAACCAATAAATAAATGCGGAATGAATAATGCATAAATATAAAATATAATACTAAATATAAGTATGTATAATAATCAGTAAATATAGTACTGAATATAGACAAAAGTTAGTAACCCTACAGGGAGAATATGTATCAAAATATACTAAATATATATATTATATAATATACTAAACCTGATAAACTGTAGAATATTTACATAATAAATCTATACTATATATTGTATGCATAAAAAAGCACTAAAAATAAGAACAAATTAATAATGTATATACTAACTAAATAATTAATCATATACTATGTATACAAACTTAGAGTGAGGTTTTTTTTATAATATGTAAATTGGCTAAATGTTAATAAAGCCTGCTTATGGCTTAAAGAGTTCTTTGGAGTGAACACCCACTGGAAGGTAGAACGCTTGTGGCGTTTCTTACAACTATATTGTTGGGTTGACAAGTTGGTCAATGGGTTATTATGATAATGAACTCAATTACGGCACAAAAGCTTTAGCCATCATAGCCGGACGACCGCCATAGCCAGCCGCTGTTGTAATTTGCTTGGCCTTGGGCTGCCGGTGCCGTTGCTGTTTCTGTTGCTGTTGCTGCCGCTTGGCAGATTTCACAGCTAGAGAAACTTCGTTTCGGTTTCTATTGAGAGTATATTCTGCTTTACACAATGCCAACCGCTCGACAAAGCAGCTGAAGAAGCAGTCATAGAAGTAGCAGAAGCACTAATAGTAGTTGAAGAAGAAGAAAAAGAAGAGAAATAGTAGGCAAAAGCCACAGCTGGCCAGGGCTGGAGGTCAAGTCGGCTCTGATCGAGTTAAGTAAATCAAGTTTACTTATAAGGCACAGCCGACCAAGCAGGGCATTAAACGAGTGAATATACAATTACACCAAAGTAATTAAAATGATTCAGTTGTTAATTAAGTGCGGAGTCCAGCTTTCTCGCAATCCGCCACCCACCAGTTGATTTATAATATTCAAGCTCGAATTCGAATTCGAATTCGCTTCTTAATTGAACTTTTAAGTTGCGCCAACGAGTTCAAGCACATAGCAAATAATGACCGATGGGAAACTAAATGCAAAAATGAAATTCCTTAAAGCAATTATGCGGAATAAGTACATGAAATTATGTAGCTTCAATGGCCAATTGTTCGGGCAAACACAATATTTGGCAAAAAATCTTTAAGTTCCCAGTGAAGCACTTGATATAGCGAATATGCCATGTTTGGAAGACAGGGCAAATAGCTACTGTAAAGAGCTTGCTTATTGAATTCGCGTCGCTAGAAATCAATCAACAAATGATTGCGCTGAGGTATTAGTTAGGTACCGAGCATTGTCGTATGACCTTCATTGAAATCAAACACATTTTGCTGTGCGAACTTGAGCCGTTCGGACGTAATTACTGTCAAGCGGAATCGGATACTAAATTCCATGCCAAAAAAATGCAAATGTTGACCGAGGAACTACCTCGAAAAGTCCAACGACTCTCGTGCCAAATGCCAAATGTGGCGACAATTAGGCTTAACGAGTGCTCAATCACTCACAGCTGGCCCAGAGAGATAAGCTTCGGCATTTACTGGCACGTTTGGGCATTGAAATGGTAACAAAATCCGGCTGCCTCGGGGTGCGTTAATTTCAAGTAGACGCAAATCAGGGGCAGCTCAATGCGATAAGTTAACAACTGTAGCCAGTTGAATGTGAGTGATCGTTATATTTAAAATCAGCAAAACAAGAAATATCGATAGTTGTAATTTTATCGATGATAGACGAGTGTATCGAGTGTGCAGCCCTCGTTTTTTATTAACATACGTTGTGTAACCAGTGTAACCAGACATTTCAAATTGTATTGCTGGAAACAACGTGCTGCTACTCGGATTTTAAGCATTTTAAATATAGGACAAAATGAGCGGCAATTCGAAAAAGGAGCTAATCCTTTGTGACTATTGTCAGATCGAGAAGGATGCAAATCAGATTTACACGGCCAGAAAACAATTTGCTGGCTGCAAAATCGTTGACATTCTACAAAGTGTCACCCATTTGACCGTAAGTACAGTCTAAGACATGAATTGATTTCCATATAGTACATATATAAGTGTACATAAATAAATATGCATATTTTATATTTCAGATACCAGTCGCAACACCTGTTAAGTTATGCAGTCTATGTGCTTCCACTTTGCATGCCACAACCGGCGCTATCGCAAAAGCCGTTGAAATGGTTTCCAAATTGTTGCCAGTTGCCAAGAAGCAGAAACAGCAGCAGATTGAGACTGTTCTAGTCCCTGATGATGAGGGCGATACAGAGCCGACAAGACGTTTGTCAATCGTTGACAGTCCCAAAGTATCAGCTAAACAGCCAACATCGGCGACACCCAGCAAAAAAGATAAGAAAATCATTAAAAACATTAATGACACGCCCACAAACGTACAGCAGAGTCCAAAGACTCTGCCGGCTAAGGCAAAGTTGCCACAGACAAGCACACCAATAACAGCAGTGCCATCTACTCCTAAGAAACAACAAGACGACCTCGAGAAGAGTCTGCAGAATTCAATTAAGATAACAACGGCCAAGGATGTGCCCAAAAAGAACAAGGAATTCAATCAGCTGTTCGGTAAAAGCGACGATACTGTCACCGACTCTGAGGAAGAGGATGGAGAAGAGGAAGAAGGTACCATCGAAAAGGTAGATTTTAAGAACATCTCTATTGGCTTCGAGTGCAAACTGTGCGACTTCACTTCCCCCAATCCTATCCCAATGAAACGACATTTAAAGGAATTGCATGGCCAAAAGCGTCCCCGCATTTACAACTGCTTGAAATGTGCCAAAAGTTTTGGTGTAGTGAAATCCCTAAAGGCGCATTTGTTGACACATGGGATTACCGAGGAGAAAGATGAGAAACAAATTGCTCCCGATCCACAGCTGGCAGTCTTAACTGCCCTAAAGCCAAAGCAAAAGCCGCTAGAAGCTGTCGCAAATGATGAATATACTTTCGCCGTCACAGACACCAACTCGTCGACACCAAAACCCGCAGGGCAGCCGATTCAGCCAGAGATACAGTCCAGCAAATATCAGTGCGAATTATGCCAACTTGAACTGGATGAAGTCAAGTCGTTGCAGGAACATTTAAAGACTGTCCACAACGTCGACCGTCCCAAGGTATTCAAATGCGAAGTGTGCGACAGTTACTTTATGTACAAGAAAACATTGAATCACCACATTAAAGTCAAACATATCACCGGTAATGGGGAAGGGGCTATCAAAAAAGAAACGCCAGCTAAAATTAAGATTCGACGCAAAACTGTATCAGTCGAACGTAGCCCAGCTAAAACTATGAAAACCGGCTACCCACAATTGCCAGTAAAAATTGCAGCCAGGCGCAAGACTGTAGCAGCGGAGTTGATTGAAAGGAATGAGTCAGCTGTCCAGACAATGTTGAACTCGCCAGCTAAAAATCCGGAAAAAGAAGCAGAAAAATCCGACTACCTTATTGATAAAACCATCGTTGAAGTCCTTGACGAACTTATCGAGGATCTACCAATGCCAAAAGAGAGCAAATCAAACGAGGATAGTGCAATTGTCGCAGACAAGTCAAAGAAGACTAAGAAACCAACACAAATGCTCAAGCAAACCTTTGAGTCGCTGTTGGAGTCGCCTATCAAAAAGAAACCCAGAACTGAGTCCACTCAATCGGATATCATGAATAAATCAAAATCAAAGGGCGAGCAAATACCAGCCACGCCCACCCAGGAAAACAGCGTGGACTCGACACAGATCACCAAAAAGAGTAGGGCCATAAAAGATATTGATTCGCTAGATTCATCACAAGCTATAGAGAACGGCATGCAAACTAAGAAATTCAAATCCCAAAAAGAAGTAGAAGATATAAACTTATCAGAAAGCATGAATGGATCACCAAAGAAATCGAGCAAGCGTAAGCAGCGAGAAGAGGAATCATCACAGGCGGATACGGCCGACGAGTCTCAAGTGTCCCTCACTGCAGAGCTGAAGTCGCTGAATAATTCTAAGGCGGACAAATTGAAGGCGGGAGATGTCATTGATCTGCTCGATGAGATCAATCCCAATGTCAAGCCGCACAAGCGCATTAAACTCGACTCTCTGGAATCGGAGCTGAGCTGCAACGTCTGCAGCAAGGTCGTTGGCTCCCGCAAGCGTCTCGATTCGCATATGCGTAAGAAGCATATTGTACAACTGACCTGTCCCAATTGCAAGGTGGCCTACGCCGACAACTTGGAGTATGTCAAACATTTCTCCTTCTGCAATGCAGTCGATGGTCTGCCGTGCGGCTTCAAGAACTGTGAAAAGGTTTTCGCTGCGGCAAATTTCTTGAGCTCCCACTTGAATAAGAAACACAAGGGCTCCAATTAATTAAGGTAAGTAATATTGCGTATGTTGTCTGAAGAATGTTCGATCTTAATGCTTTACTTTTTCAGATCTTATCACATCAATTCAGCTGGCCTTAGAGATGCCCCAATGACTGAATATTTTATTTTGTAATTTCTTTTTAAGGAAAATGAAACCATTTGTAACGAGTACAAAACCTTAAATGACCCAACACAACTGTCAACTAAATGGAAACATTTAATTAAGGAAATATATTTTTAGTTTTTTTTTTTTAGATATATATTGTTCCGACTTTCATGTAACAATAAGCGCAAATGTAGTTTACAAGAAGGAAAACCAACTATAATTTGAGAGCAGTTTGTATAGCAGAGCGTTCCATATATGTACATATATATTAAATGTATATATTTTTTGTTCTCTACATGCGTTGCTATGTGTTTTAATGAGTAGCCTTAAGACAAACCCCCAACAAAAATGATTTACGCAGATCCCGCGCGTAACTCAACAAATAATAAAAACAATTTACTAGTTCAACTTTTCTACTTAATGTGTACTCTTGAATGGATTGTGATGGTGCGATGATGCGGATGCAGAGTTTGCCTGTGCCTGTGCCGGTGACTGCTTTGTTTCACGATCAGGATCCCACCTTGCTATGAATCTCAGCTTGGGCCACCTTCATAACATCGAGTGCGCCCTTCTTGATGAGCCGCTCGGCCAGAGTTTGGCCAAGCCAATTGGCCTTCTCGTAGATGTCCCTGCTGTGGCATGCATGCTGATAGAGACCACAAAACAAGTTGTCCACATCCTCAATGAGCACGGGCAGCTTGAGCTGCTGTGGCTGTGGCTGCTGCTCATCGGCATAGTCGAACATTTGCACCGTCTTCTGTAGGAACGGACATTTGGCGTGACCCGTTTTCTCTTGGCTGACTTCAAGGCCACTGCCTTGGTGCATGGCAGAGAAAGGACATTTGGAAGACGTTGGTGTTGTTGCTAACGCCGGTGTCGGCGCCGTCGATATATTGTCCGGCTCGTCTCCACTGCTGGGCGGTTGCGCAGGCAACGTGGCAATGTGGGTGACCGGACACTTCCCCGCACTGGCGAACGAAATCTTTGTCTCGTTGTCAACGAACGGACACTCGCCCATAAATTCCTGGCCAACGTTCATCTGCAGCGGGCAGTGAACCGATGAGTTAGCATTGCTGGTGTCAGCATCGCCACCGCCACCACCTGCATCCCCGCCAGCACCCAATGCATTGTTATTGTCGTGACCAACAACGGGGCACTTGCGTGCCAGGTCGATATGACGCTCGAGCAGCTCCTCCATGGTGTAGCCCGTAACAGAGGCATCCTCACATATGACCGGTGGACTGCCCTGTTGACGTGGGCTATTCGTGCTGGAATCGGAACCCGAGCCAGACCCATTGCCATTTCCATTGTCATTTCCATTGGTAAGCGTGTTGTTGCCATTCCTTGCACGCTTAGTAGCTGGCGGGGAGTCGCAGCTGTTGCTGTCATTATTGTTTGCCACTTCCTGGGCCTGCTGCTGCTGTTGGTCATTGCCGCCGGCACGCTTGCGACGATTCACATCTGTTTCCAATTCATTTAAGGCACAATCCAAGTGCTCGCGTATCTCAATAGCACCATCCAGACTCCACACGGCGCCTGTAAGCGACAAGCCCACTTCCTCATCCTGYTTCAACTGCTGCTGCTGCTGTCGATTGCCATTGCTAATGTTGCTTGGCTCGCCTTTCAGTTTGCTCCAGACAGCAACTGGAGCTGAGCAGCCACCGCCCAAAGTTTTCAGGAAGCTGCGTTCGGCCAAAATACGGCATGTGGTATTCAAGCACATGAGCCGCTGAAGCATGCCCAGCACATGAGCATCGTTGGCCCGACACTCGACGGCCAGAGCGCCCTGGCCGACGGCATAGAGCAGGTCCGTGGGCTCTAGCACCTGGCTGATGCGGTTCATCCAGCCCATGCGCACGAGACCCGCCTGTGCCAGTATAATGCCCGAAAACTTGGAGTCCTTGGCATCCAGCTTGGCCAAACGCGTATTCAAATTGCCGCGAATATCGCACACAATCAAATGCGGATACTGGCGTCGAATTTGTGCTGTGCGACGCAGCGAAGATGTGCCTGTTGATGAAAGATGAGTCAGTCGAAAGCTTTTAGCTATATGAATGCTTAGCTTACCAATGACACTGCCTTTGGGCAGCGATGCAATGGTGTGACCCTTAAGATGCTCGCGCAGCACCAACGCATCCCGAGCATCTTCACGTTCCAGCACCGCGCCCACAGCCATGCCCGTTGGCAGCGCTGTGGGCAGATCCTTCAGCGAATGGACGACAAAATCGACACCGCCATTTCGTAGTGCATCTTCCAGATCCCGGGTGAATAGGCTCTTCTCCCCAATCTTCGGCAGCGAAACGTTCAACACACGATCTCCAAATGTAGACATCGTATCTGCAAAATCAACAACAGATGCAAATGAGTTGTTTCCTTTTTATTACCGCTTCGATCTACTTTATAGGTGTTTCCCTGACATTCCAGCTGATATCATTCTTATATAATCAGAGATAAAAGCGGCCCCGTTCAATCAGGCGTGACACGCAAACGAACTGATTTCAGTTCCCCCCATTTAAACAACACGATTGCGAGTACTCTTTTATCAGCACGCAATGCTACAAATTCTGGAGCTTATCAGACATTGAATTTGCCTACGAATGGACGCTATTTAATTGCACTTTACGAACTCCAACTGTTGGATGTAAATATTAAATATCTAAACGGGATGTCGCGTGCTGCTCAAGGCTCTTAACATTACTCAAATTTAATGATTAAATGGTGTGCGAAATAACGAGAACTGGCCTCAATTATTTATTATTTTTGATAGACGTACACCCTTAAAAATTAATTTAATATCCATAAACAAACATATTACAGTCGATTTTAGCCAGTGCTACTGTGTAAATATTTATTTTAATAGAAATGAAATACTTGTAGGAAAAACGTTAAAGCTATTTGAATTTATTATCAAGGCCAGATAACAATATATATATTTACAATAATAAATAGATTCCAATAGATGCTTATATTATGTCAGCAGCACGTTTGTCAAACTGCGATAATCTAGTTAAGTGTGCTTTTAATCTATAAACAACAGTCGTTAAAGTTATTTAGCAAAAGAGCGGAACAAAAGCAAAAAGTAAAAGAAAGAAAGACATTGACATTGAGCGAAATTTTGGCAAAAGGCACGCGAATGAGACGCAACCAAAATTGAAAAGATAATGTGAATATACAATGAAGCAAATCGAACGCGCCTCTCTAAATATCTCGCATTCTATATAACTGCAGTCGCAACAATGACTCTCAGTTCATAAACTGATTAAATTTAACGCGAGTATTGCTGAATAGATAAGAGAATTGAGCTAGGCCGCAGAGAATTCATGAGTCATGGTGAAACATAATAAAATATTAATAGTAACGCACGTTTGCAAGAATCATAAATACTTGTGTAAACAAAAATATGAGAAAATGCATTTCCAATTGGAAACTTTCACTTACGTATCTCGAACTTTTGCTTCGGATAGAGTTTCTGCAGTCTGCCGACGACATGTTTAGTCTGAATGAGCGCTAGCTGTAGGAGAGAAGGGAATAAAGAATAAGAGAGAGAGAGAGTAGCGTAAGTAAATGCTTTTAATTGCATATGCAAATGCTAAATGTAAATGAACTGTAATTGGAGAAAGGAAGTAGGAGAGAGAGAGAGAGTGAGAGCGAGCAATTCAGTACAATTAATGGTGGGTTCAAATAAGACTCGCGGTCGCAGCTGCTGTTAGATTTGTTGTTGTTGCCAATTGGCAATTCGAATTTTAATTAGCAACGATATTTAAAATATATGTGAGTGGCCTTGATATGGCTGAACGGCAGGCTAAGACCCAAGTCAAGCCAATCCGCGTCAAGCACGACTCAAATGGCCAGCAAAATATGGTCAGAGTAATAAAAAGATACAAAGCCTCACAAATCAAACGACAGGCGAGTGCGGGCAGTTAGACATTACTATTGCGCCAGCTTAATGAGAGCAACAGCAAAAACAACAGCAACATCAATAGCAGCAGCAGCAGCAGCATGAGCAGCCCCACCAGCAACAAATTTAAGCAATGCGTGAGAGCCGCACGAATCTGAGCTGCTGTTGTATAACACTAACCAAAAAACACACAGTCCCAGTCAGCAACAACAAGCAACAGCAGCGGTATTTTCTTGTTGTTGGGCGAGCAACAAGTCTTGCTCTTGCATAAATATGTGTGAAGCGAGTTGTAGCGGAAGAGAGAGAGAGAGATAGAGAGGGAGGGTGCAAGCAGTAGACGGATGAGCGTATACGACATGATTGAAATTCAAATGAAAGTTTAGCAAATCGAATGCACATATTTCAGCACACTCACACACACATATTGACTTTGACTTGTATACATATTCTTTACCTCACTTTTTCGTGAACCAACACGAATGACCTTTTCCTTGTCCTGCGTAGACATCTTAAGTTTCTGTTATTATTGCACAATTGTTACTATTAGACAGGCGTGTGTGGAGGTGGTTTAGTGAAAGTGTCTTTGGCGAGGACAAGCAGCAGTACCGAAGGTTTCTTTTTGGGTCACAACTTTTGCACAGTAGCAGCGATGAACGATGAATGAAAACTTTAATTCACTGAGTATTAAACACACATTCTTGTCTTTCTGTCATGTAGACTTTGTACTAGACGGTTAAAAATCCAACCAATGAACCTAAAATTAAGGTTTTATGCTGGACGATACTACGTCCGAGCAAAGAGCAATGCAGCAAGTGATTGGCAAACTCACTGCCATGCGACAGGGGCCTTGATAGACGATTACTCGATAGCTGTTGAATAATATTCGATCTAGAGATGAAATTATGTGTCGACTATTAAATACTAAATATGTACATCACTGAAATAAAGTGAGTGCCACCAATCGATAACTGCCAAACAGCTGGTTGGAAAACAAATAAAAACAAGGCGCTGTTGTTATGTTTTTGGTAAGTTATGATTTATTTAATAAAGTAAACTATTAAAAGCATATTAAATTATCCACTCTAGTTTTTAAGCCGTCCCATGGGGACGCTTGGCGATCGTATGCGAGTAGTGCGTGAGCGCTTAGGAGATGAATTTCTGGACAAACTTGACGAACTGCATTTAAATGCTCTGCGCACTGGCCTAGTGTCCAGAGCAGATTTGCAAGAAGCATATCGCATGGCGCGTGACATGAACACCAATCATAACCGTCTAAACTTCTTGTGGCTTCTGGGGATTATTTTTTTCATAATGATAGCGACACCTATTTTCTATGAGACCATTTCGTTTCTACTCGGCGTTCGCTGCTTCTTGCCTAACAATCATCTGGTCTGGGAGGCAACGCGTCCAATCAGTGATTGTGAGTTCTGCAAGGGTGTTGCGGCGCCTCTAATTTTACCCAATCTGACTCGCGAAGACTTTGCTCGCTATGCATACTCCTCTCGACCAATAATTGTGAAAAAAGCCATTGCTCATTGGTCAGCAAAGCAAAGTCTCAATTATACATCTATAAAAGAGCTGTATGAGAGCGTACCGGGCTCTTTGGATACCGCATGTCAGTTCCAGCATTTCAATTCGGATCTCAAGTCATTGCGCGACGTTTTCAGGATGTCGCCAAAGCGTGTAAATCTAAGTGAAGGGTCGCCCTGGTTCGTGGGTTGGAGCGTTTGTCAGCCTATGGTTCTGGCGGAGCTGCGTAAGTTGTATCCACGACCACACTTTCTGCCAGTGGATGCCGAAATGCCAAGCACGGACTACATATTGATGGGCTATGAGCAGGGCGCCGTCATGCATGTAATTACAACTGAGGTCATGTCCTGAACAAGCTATGTAAGCGTTTCTCTATCTCTCACAGTTGGACTATATTCCACGTCTAATGTGGCAGGCACAGCTGCAAGGCAACAAAAGTTGGTTTTTGTCTCCCGCGCCGGAATGTGACCACCAATGCCAGTCGTTTTTCTTCTATGTGGAACCAGGTGATGCTGTACTGGTGGATACACGCATTTGGTATTATGCTAACACCATACCCAGAGGACAATTCTCACTCACTGTGCAGTCCGAATACGGATAAATATTTAATAATTAGATTTAAGAGTTTGATGAAACTATACTTCCCAATTTATAAATTATCTCTCAATAAAAAATATAAGATAAATAATATTTAATTGATTTATAAACATTTTAAACTTCGCGGCATTCGATAGCTGAAAATACTTATCGATTAATCGAGCACAATCTGTTTGCAACACACCTAAGCCTTTGACGCGCGCCTATATTTTAGAAAGCGAAGACGAAAAAGTAAAAATTTACAGACATGGACGAAAACTTTAATTTTAGTGTGTTTTCTGCGAAATGTAATGAGTACGTCCAGCAGCATCCTATCAATTTGAAAGAACTGTGCATCACAAAATCGGTTATAAAGACAAATGATTTCTTTAAAAGTGTCGAAGCTGAGGAAGCCGAAATGGCACCGGCTTTGTCTAACAAAGAACTTGGCACAATGGATGAATATGCAGAGCTGTTCAAAGTATTTGACACATATCCCACTAATCTTCAGCGTTTGCCGAAAAAGCGTGATCTGCAACGCACGAACTCCGCAATTCTGAAGGGGAACGATACCATACTGGACCAAACTGCTATTAACAGTTCAAATGTATCTCTAGCACCTATCTGCAATCGCTTGGATGAGCAGCCGAGCGCTGCAAAAGTGTACAGCGATTATAAGAAGTTTCAACAGAAGTTACGACAAGCATACAACGAAGCTGCTTCCCTGGAAAAGGAACAAACTAAATGGTTAGCCAAAATCGCACAACTAGAAATGTTTGTTCAACAGCTGGCGAAACTGATGCCCTGCGAGCGAGAGGCGCCAGATGCGTTTACGGCTGAAGAGCAGACCAAACTTGCCACAATTGCAGAGAACATGATGGAATTGAATTATCTGCGTGCCAACAGCCTCACACAACTGGTCAATCCCATGGACACGACTGGACGTCAGGACACTTTTGTGGATGTTCTAAACTACGCTCTCAATCAAATAAGTTCATTCTGTACTCCCTAAATATGTGTGTTGTCTTTCCTGTAATTTTATTGTAATGTAATATTATCCAGACATTTTGAATGTTTTGATGTCAGCTGTTTATGTTATCGGTTATCGTTTGATAGGCGCGCTGCGACCAATGGCTGTCATGTTCATCGACTTAAATGTAATTAACGTAGATTTTTATTTAAATTTTATATATTCTTCAAATTGAATTTGATGCCTTTCATTTAAAATTAATGTGTAAACTTTGAAGGTTTTCGCATTACATCTATTCATATACGTCCTCCTTGTCGGCGACGTATTTAATGATGTCGGCAGGTTTCAGAAGCTTCTCAGCATCCGAGTCTGGAATCTCAAAACCAAACTCATCCTCCATGGCCATGATAACCTCTACGTGATCCAACGAGTCCAAGCCCAGATCATTGATGAAGTGAGAGTTCACATTGAGCTGCAATGATAGTTGAATTATAAATTGCAATTAAGAAAATAGTTTTAAATTATGGCAGCTTTGTTCGTTTCTTTGGACGGCACAATAGATTAATTCAACTGGCAAAGGCAATTATATTATTGAATTAAATGCGCCTAGGCCAAGAGCTTGGTCTTTTACCTTGCTGGGATCGATCTTATCGTACAGCTTCAACACAAGCAAGACACGCTCGTTGATAAGCTTCAGCGACAATGGCGGTTTCGCCGAATAACTGCGCAATGATTGCGTTTGCCAGCGACATCTGCTGTCCTGCAATGTGCGCAGCCCCAAAAAGAAAAGAACAAAAGAAACCAAGTTAGTGGATTCTCGTATAGATCACTTTACCTTATCGGCAGTCACTTTGTCGTAGGCTGATACGACTTTCAATACACGATGCTCAATTTCTTCAAGAGTGTTCCTCGCCGAGTAGTTACGAATTGTAAACATCTGTTTCTATAATAATGAAATATTAAAAATTTGCTCCAACCTTACAGAATTGCCGGTAAATAAATCCACAAGAGGGGCTTGATTACAAAAATATGAATGTGAAAATAGGTGCTGGAATATTACGATTGCCATTGCTAGATATAATTTCTTCCTTAGACAAATCTAAGTAAATAACTTCCATACCCCGTCGAGTTTTTCACAATGAGGTTAGGGACGCAACTAATTAACTTTCAAAACCCGAACGCCTTTTACAAATGTCTTAAGCTAATTATTGTGACCTTACTTGAGTGAGTTGACTGCCAATAGCAGGCATGGCAATTCGGTGCATCATCCTAGACTGTGTCTGTACAACGGTTTTGGCAATGCGAACTGTGTTCAGAGCAGCCGCAAATCGGCCGCAGCTACGTGCGACTTGTGTGAACGACATCTTTTGTTTAATCTGGAATACAAATGAAATATAGTAATTTCTGATTGGCTACAATGCGATGTGCAGTCGCTTATAACAATATTTACACCGAATTTCACACAAAACGGGGGCTCAGATTATGTAAAAGTTCTGGAGGAGCAAAGGCAGCACAGATGTTGAATAAGTATCGATACCAAACTTATTAGCATCGATGTATTATGAAAGTGACTGTGATTCGTTGTGAACGGCTCAAATCGAACAGCTGCCATTCAATAAAATCATTTACTGCTGATTGGCTAGTGCTGCTATGTTATAAAATATTTGTGTCTCAATATTTTGCCTAAACTTTTCTGTGTGGTGTTTATTATATTTGATTCAGATAAATATAAATTATATACACACATTTTATTTTTTTTAATACCATTTATATAGTTTTAAATTGCGCGCCTAATTTATTATTATCGGAATAATAGTAACAGATATTATGTATTTTTGAAAAGCTTATTTACCACTTATAATACATATGTGACACATATAAAATGTATTGCAAATATGACGTTCCTTATAATTTTTAAATATTTATTAAATGTTGTTTACATTTTGCACACTAAAAGCATTATGTTTTAGACCACTTTACAACACCACCATTTGTTATCGTGCTCAGATGTTATGTTTTTTCATATCTTATAAGTCTACAAAACTAAATTTTGTGTTTGTTTTGATATCGGAACACCTGTATAATCAATATAAATATTAAATATTGGATGCGCCTCTAAAGTTCTAAGAACAGAATAATGTTAAGGGATTTGATTACGTGGGTCTTAAATACCTATCTCGGGAAGTATTTAGAAAATTTGAACTCTGCTCAACTGTCTGTTGCACTGCTATCAGGTACAAAATAACACAAATACTATTACGAAATAAATTACTTATTTCATCATATAAACTCTAGGGGAAGTCGAGCTCGAAAACATTCCCATCCGAAAGGATGCGCTGCGCTCGTTCGGCCTGCCCATAGAAGTCTCGGCAGGTAGCATAGGTAAAATAAAGCTCCAAGTGCCGGTTCGTCAGTTTCGTACTTCGCCATGGTGTATTTCCGTGGAAGGGCTCTTCTGCGTCGTCACGCCAAAAGACTTCGAGAACTGGGATGAAGTGAAGGAGAAACTCCTTAACCTGGAGTATAAGCAATCTGTGTTAGACACTGCAGAGGCCAAATGGCGCTCTGAAAAGGGAAAGCAAATAGAATCATATTACTTTTCTTCGTATAATAATTGGCTCAAGTATGGCACGAATATGGCAACAAATATCATTGATAATATTGAACTTAAAATATTTGATGTTCACTTTCGATACGAAGATGTTGTTGATGTGGGCAAAAGCAAAGTTGCGACTGGCATCAAAATTGGTTCTCTAACTGCACAAAGCTGTGATTGCAACTGGGCGACGGGCTCCAATAAATCGGTTAATAATGATATTAATTTTAAGGTCGTTGAGCTGAAAGAGCTATCCCTGTATTGGGACACATTGCACGATGACATAAAATGTCAGAAGTTCACAAATCAAGAGCTTCTAACCAATATGAATCCAACATGCCAACTGCGCCCACATGAGTTCATAATCAAGCCCATTAGTGCAATAGCCAGATGGAAGCGCGAAAAATCTCTCCAAGTGATACGCTCAAAAGACAAACCCCGAGTTTCTTGTGATCTTCTAGTACCTGAAGTTATAATTGTGCTAAGCAAGGTAAGCCAATCGAATTGAGTTTAAATAATTAATGCAGCTTAATTTCCGCTTCAGGCGCAGCATGATGAGATACAGGACAAATTGGCTGGAATTCAACAAATAAAGGAAATTTGTCAATTTCGTTTGAAAAGACCAACCTACAGTATTAAGGAAAATCCAAGAATGTGGTGGAGATATATTCTCATTTGTTATGGCCGTGAACTTAAAACAAAAGATGAAAAGTTTCTAACGCTCAAAGAGAATTTGCGTTACATGAAGATTTGTCAAGCAGTTATATTGAATCCCAACGAAAACTTGTCCAATGATGACAAAGAATTTAAAGCGTATATTGAGAGTGATAGAAAAGTCGCAGATCTAATCATAATGCGCAGAATATGCTTTGATAAAGTGTACTCAAAAGGCATTTCAATTAAGTCTGACCAAGTCAAAGGCAAGGGAATGCTATTTCATTGGTTTCCCAACTGGATGGGCTGGTATGGAAACAATTCGACAGCCTCTGCAGAGCAGGATGAATCATTACAAAATTTAGAAGATGATATTTTGGTTGCACTCGAGCACTCACTACAGAGTCAATCTCACATGAAATGTGATACAATATTTGGATATTTTACTATTGAGCTCCTTAAGGGTTTCATTATCTTACAAACCGAAGAATCGACAAAGAACGATGATAGCAAATCAATTGAAATGCAATTTAATAATTTGTCATCTTTTCTACAATTGAATCCCTTATTTACTTCATATGTGGTTGGCATATCATTGGGAGAAGTTTATTTATTAGATAAAACCAACAAGGATTCAAAGCATTGTTACTTAATTAAACCTCAGACTGATCGATCGACAGCAATAAATTCGCCGGACATAAAGCAATTGGTTAATTCCACGAACAAACAAGAGCCATTATTTCAATTGCAATATGAAAATGATGATCAGCTACAATACCGTCTTATAATTAAATCAAAAAGTTTGGATTTAATATACAATCAAGATGCCGTTAATTGGTTTTTAAGTTTCTTTACCCC